TACCAGCTGTTCCGCAGGAGAAAGATGAGGCTTTCTGCTTCCGTAAAGATTTACAGCCTCGGAAACCCTGTACAGGGTTGCTATGAGTCGGAACTGACTCCATGGCACACAACAATAACAATAAATACTTAAGACAGTAAAAGGAACTTCTTGTTAAGTGCCATCGAGTTGGCTTCAACTCATAGCAACCCTGTGTGTAAGGTTTCCAAGGAGTGGCTGGTTAGTTTGAACTGCCAACCGTGTGGTTAGCAGCCCAGTGCTTATTCTACAGTGCCATACTAGAACTCCAGTAAAGGGAGCTAGAAGTGTGAAAATGAGTTAGTTTGAGATTTAAAACTTTTACTTCCACTAGATTATTTGTCTCATATATGCCTATTTTGTTATTTTAAGAGACTAACAAAGTAATCTAGAGCACTCAGGGTTTTCAATATCAGTCTGAAGAAGAAGTTAAATAATTGCATGACAAACACATTCTTTTGCTTCTTTTAAATAATCTCAAACCCATTTCAATGAACAAAGACAAGGCAACAGATATTGAGAAGAACATTTTTTACATTTCCCAATTTATCTCAAATCTATGAAGGGTTGTGTTAATAAAGCTTAAAAAGATAAAAGGTAGTAGGGTAAAACCCACAAAAACCAGAACCTGTGTCAGAAAACCCATCAGAAATGGGAAAAATCAATTATTTTAACTAACACGAGCGATGGAAAAGTGGTAAGACTATGAGACCCCAAAAAACAAGTTCCAGCTTTCACGGTATAATTTATCTCTTTAAAAGTAACATTATTATTTTGCTTAAGAAAATAGTTTCTGGTAAATTAAACACATTGTCCGAGGCACAAAGATTATGCTATTTTCTCTGACAGCTAAAAAATATGTGAAAAAGAATTCCAATAAATCTTTTAATGTTTAAAGCTTGAAAATTTAAGAATTAAGGTTATATGATTTTAAACCATTGATTTTTCAAAATATTTACTTTTTGGTTATCAATAATTTCAATTTTAATATTCATGAACACAAGGAAAAAAGCTTGGTTTGTATTAAAATAATTCTTTACTATTATTAAAGAATCCACACAGTAGTAGGCAGCAGAGGTTTTATGGAACTTTTATAATGCTACCATAGCAGGCATTCAACTAAGTGATTTGACTTCAGAATGCCAACTAGCTTAAAAATAGATGTGTTATTTTTCTCTTCTGCTGACACAGACATCTATGTGTCTTTACTGGGAATTTTGGCTCCAGGTTCTTTGTAAATCTAAGATAGTCCATTTTTAACACTTGGCACAGAAGAAATTTTAACATCATGGTAACAAGTTTTAGCTAACACTGCTGATTTTGATACTGTATCCAACAAACTCCA